ACTTTTGAGTACAGATGAGATTAAGTAGCTGTGAGTTTACTGCATTTAATGAACTATTTTTTTTAGGAAAAGGTATTTTTATAATTTGAACCTTGTTCTGATGCTTAACTTAAACTTTATTAAAACCAATATGAATTTCCGCTGAAGCATTAATTTAATTTTTAAAGTGGCTCAGATTTCATCACATATTTACTCTATTCTTGAGCTTTGCTTTTTCATCCCTTCAAGTAAGGAGAATTAAATGGGATGTCATTAAGATCCTGATCATTAACTGCAGGGTGCTGTGTGACTCAGATTTTCCTTCTCCTCCAGGCTATTAAGCTACAACTGTTGTTGACTTTTATGTTCTAGTTGGGTCCAGTTTACTCAAACAAACTTTGCTTCAGGATTTTTTGTTTTCTTCTTACTTCCTGAAGGAATCTCCCCCTAGAGGCGTTTAACGTTTCTGGACAGTGACATGACAGTTTTGCTTATACTTAGCAGTGATAAGCAACCCATTTGTGCACTTGCATTTGGTACTCCCTCTTTTTAAAAAACATTCTCTCCGAAGTCTTGCTATGCAAAAAAAAATGAGGCTGCTTGCTTTGTTTATTTAGTTTACGCACAAAAAGGTGCAAGTGTTTAGTGTAAATCTATGCTTTACTGATTGTCAATAGCATGAACTGGCATTCTCCCATCATTTTTCTCTAGATTCTCTTTGGCTTTTCATGCAGTTCCTGAACTCAACGATTGCTTTAACAATCTCTTCATGTTCACACCTTTGTAGTCCTTCCTTTTTTTTTCTCTTTATAGTGCATTTTTTGTCTCAGGAATACAAATCTACTGTCAAGAGCTGGTCTGTCTTCATCCTGTTCTCTTTCAGTCTCTGCTGGCTATCCAGTACCTTACTACATCCATTCACTATTGATGCCTGACCCAAACACTGAGATCTATGAACGTGGCCATTGCTAGAACTGGTTTTTTCAATTCTATATACAGCTTAGCCTTGCCTCTGTGAACAGGCTGAAGAAATTATCTGATAACAAAAAGGCCTCTCCTTTCACATATAAATATAATCACTGAAATGTCATTTTGCTCCATGGATGTAAAATAACAGAGATCTAAACACATACTGCTTTGCCTATGTTTGATATTCTCACATCAGCCCATTGGCAGACCAAATTCAGTATTGGTGTAAAAATTACAGCATCTTTTCGTGCCATAGCCAGATGCTCTTTCACTCTGTTCACTGACTGTGGCTGCTTCATTCCACTTCCTGCAGGGTGAGTCTTTTAGGTAATGAAGTCTTTAACTCAGCTTTAAATTCTCATCCTTGACAATCCCAGCACTGGCAACAAGGCAGTTTTGAAGAGTTATCCCTCTGCAGGTGCTAACCTGGGTGTTGTGACTTACTGTCTGAGTTCCTTGTGCTCTTTCCTGCTTCATTCCATCAGCAGCACTGAAGGAAATCCTTCATAAAACTGTTCTAACATCTCTCCATTCTCTGCTGTCCTAATTTCCAAAGGAAAACAACTCTAAAGGAAATCTGTTACGTAACAGAAGATTAAAAAGTTGATATCAAGAAGACATCAAAGGAAAGCGCCTGTTACTGGAAGCATCCACCCATCCATCCATCTGATCTTTATGCAGAACACTTTTCCTATCTTATCACCTCTCCAACCACATGTACCTTCTAAGACATGTAATGGGAGGAAACTACTACCTGGTTGCAAATACAATTGAGAAAGGGACAAGTAGTGAGAGGAGGTGCATTGCTGAGGATGGACATTGGAACAACT